GTAAGTGCTGGGAACAGTTTACATCTCCTCATCAAACTGAGTTAGTTAAACTCAGACGAAACTTCTTTTTAGATCAGCAATTTCACATATTGCGGAAAAACTACATACAAAAAGATTCTGGGATATGTGGGACAAAGTATTGTATACATCACTGACAAGCTTTTAAAATCTTCAATCTAAATAAGGTTTTGAATTACTACGTTATAAAGTGCAATGACAGCATTCACTGCAAAACATTTAAAAATGTTCTACCTAAGTCTTAAAGGGGTCATGAACTAACCCCTAACCCTAACCCTAACCCTAACCCCTTACCCTAACCCTAACCCTAACCCTAACCCTATGAACTGCATTGTTTTACCCCCAATTTCCACCAACTGCGGAACGGCGGCGGAGTCAATAGGTTTCCATTCAAGTCAATGTGTGTATTTTCACTGACTGCGGAACGGCTGCGTTCCGACTCCGTCCCAGCTCCGGCGACCGCAGCCCTCCGGAGCAGATACGCAAAGTTTCTATTTTTGCCGGATGCCGGAGAGCGCCGCAGGAAGTCGATAAACAAAGATAACAGAACACAGAAACTAAATAAAACATCCGGTAATTTCCAAAATAAAAATATAGTTTTCCCTTTTCCAACAAGAACAATAGTTAACTTTATTTACACAGCCTACTACTTTCCCAATACATTCAAAAAGGAACCCACATAAACATCTAGCATTTTATAAGTTGATTATATTTAATTATAAATATAGTATTAGAATCACAATAATCTCCACAAAAAAGGAGATCAGCAGGTCAGCACAGAGTTGTTTCCCCTGTACTCCTCTGGATGGAAACAAACTGTTGCTGGTTTTGTGGTTCTGTTTATAGAAACTAAATCCTGTTATATCGCGCGATCAAACGTAAATTCGCGAGATATCGTGTGTCCTCGTGACTTCAGCTGTCAGTCATGGCCGCAGCCGTTCCGCAACAAATCCGTATCTGGTAGGTATTGAAGGACGGCGGAGCACGGATCCGACACGCAGCGGAGCCAATCCGCAGCCGTTCTGCAGTTGGTGGAAATCCGGGGTTATTGTTTCATTATGTTTCCTGGGGTGCACTTATATTGGCAATATGACACTGCTGTGATTGGCTGTGAGACCTCAGTGTAAACGCCCACTGCTGTGATTGGCTGTGAGACCTCAGTGTAAACGCCCACTGCTGTGATTGGCTGTAAGACCTCAGTGTAAACGCCCACTGCTGTGATTGGCTGTAAGACCTCAGTGTAAACGCCCACTGCTGTGATTGGCTGTGAGACCTCAGTGTAAACGCCCACTGCTGTGATTGGCTGTGAGACCTCAGTGTAAACGCCCACTGCTGTGATTGGCTGTAAGACCTCAGTGTAAACGCCCACTGCTGTGATTGGCTGTGAGACCTCTGTGTAAACGCCCACTGCTGTGATTGGCTGTGAGTCTTCAGTGTAAACGCCCACTGCTGTGATTGGCTGTGAGTCTTCAGTGTAAACGCCCACTGCTGTGATTGGCTGTGAGACCTCAGTGTAAACGCCCACTGCTGTGATTGGCTGTGAGACCTCAGTGTAAACGCCCACTGCTGTGATTGGCTGTGAGTCTTCAGTGTAAACGCCCACTACTGTGATTGGCTGTGAGTCTTCAGTGTAAACGCCCACTGCTGTGATTGGCTGTGAGTCTTCAGTGTAAACGCCCACTGCTGTGATTGGCTGTGAGTCTTCAGTGTAAACGCCCACTACTGTGATTGGCTGTGAGACCTCTGTGTAAACGTCCACTGCTGTGATTGGCTGTGAGACCTCTGTGTAAACGTCCACTGCTGTGATTGGCTGTGAGTCTTCAGTGTAAACGCCCACTACTGTGATTGGCTGTGAGACTTCAGTGTAAACGCCCACTGCTGTGATTGGCTGTGAGACCTCTGTGTAAACGTCCACTGCTGTGATTGGCTGTGAGTCTTCAGTGTAAACGCCCACTGCTGTGATTGGCTGTGAGTCTTCAGTGTAAACGCCCACTGCTGTGATTGGCTGTGAGTCTTCAGTGTAAACGCCCACTACTGTGATTGGCTGTGAGTCTTCAGTGTAAACGCCCACTGCTGTGATTGGCTGTGAGTCTTCAGTGTAAACGCCCACTACTGTGATTGGCTGTGAGTCTTCAGTCTAAACGTCCACTGCCGTGATTGGCTGTGAGTCTTCAGTGTAAACGCCCACTGCTGTGATTGGCTGTGAGTCTTCAGTGTAAACGCCCACTGCTGTGATTGGCTGTGAGTCTTCAGTGTAAACGCCCACTGCCGTGATTGGCTGTGAGACTTCAGTCTAAACGCCCACTGCTGTGATTGGCTGTGAGTCTTCAGTGTAAACGCCCACTGCTGTGATTGGCTGTGAGACTTCAGTCTAAACGCCCACTGCTGTGATTGGCTGTGAGTCTTCAGTGTAAACGCCCACTGCTGTGATTGACTGTGAGACTTCAGTGTAAACGTCCACTGCCGTGATTGGCTGTGAGTC